TTTTTTTTTTTTTTTTTTTTTTTGAGATGGAGCCTAAAGCTGTCCCCCTGGGTAGAGTGCCATGGCATTTCAGCTCACAGCAACCTCCAACTCCTGGGCTCAAGGAGTCTCCTGCCTCCGCCTCCCAAGTAGCTGGGACCACAGGCGCCCGCCACAACACCCGGCTATTTTTTGGTTGTAGCCGTCATTGTTGTTTGGCAGGTCCTGGCTGGGGATTCGAACCTGCCACCATAGGTGTACGTGGCTGGCGCCTTAGCTGGTTGAGCTATAGGCGCTGAGCCTTGTACCCTCTTAAAAGAGGGACAAGGAAATGTCCTTGTCCCTCTACCTGTGAGGACACAGAGAAAAGGCATCATCTGTGAACCAGGAAATGGGCCCTCATCAGCCACCAATTCCCTGAGCACCTTAACTTTGTACTTAAGGCTCCAGAACTGAAAAAACAAATTTCTGTGGGTTATAAGCCACTCAGTAACCCAGATAGAGTAAGCTAGGTCTTAGCAGTCAGAAATCTGGGTCCTGGCTCTGCTGTACCCAGCTGTGTGACTGAGGGCAGGTGGCCGTATTTGGCAGGGAGAGGACAAGCGTGAATGGTATTTGTGTCTGAGCACCATAGGGTCCCATGGCCTGTGTGAGAACTGGATGAAATCATGAAACTTCTCCTCAGGGAATTGCACAGACACAAATGCACAGAGCATCTCGGATGCTATCTAGGGACCCAGGAGAAGAACTCCTGCTCCAGGCACCACTGAATTCCCACTAAGAGCGTCCAGACCAGCACTGTCCGTGGAATGCAAGGTGAGCCAAATATGTGAGTTTACATTCTCTGGCGACCACATTTTAAAAAGAGGAATAAATGAACTTAACAGTAGGCAGTGGAACCGCCACAGCTGACCACCTCCCTACACTGACCACCTCCTTAATTGACCTAATTCTCATAGACCAGACATGCACCCCATGTACATATCAGGACAGGAGGCCTGATTCCTTATGTTGACCATCTCTGTGTGTTGACCAGAGGCCCTTGGATGGTCAACCTGCAGATGTTCTACTGTATTTTAATAATTCAACATATCCCAAATACTATCATGTTAGTATATATCAAAACAAAAATTATTAATGAGATATTTCACCTTCCATACTAACGCCTTCAAAATACAGTATATATTTTATTTTATTTTTTCAGGGTAACAAAGAGAAATTTTATTTAGTAAGAACAAAGAGGAAGTTCAGAGCACTTCCAAAGAGAATTGGAAGCAGGTCCCTCTCATGAAGGAGAAAAGGGGAGAGAGACCCCAGTGTGTATTTTATACTCACAGAATATCTCGATTTAGACCAGCTGTATTTCGAGGGCTCAGAGCCACATGGGACTAGCGGCTGCTACACTGGGCAGCACGGCCCTAAACTACTAAAGATCCAGAAGAAGCTACATACTTTACTCAAGGCTTGAAACTGCTGGGGCCCAACTCTTCAAACTTTCCCAAACTTGCCATGCACGCAAAGCCCCTGGGCCTTTGTTTGGGTGCCCACTCCACTCTGTAGGTCTGAGGCAGGCCTGACACTCACCTCCATGATAGACTTCCTGGTGACATCAGTGCTACTGAGCCCCACAGCCTGAGGGTGCAGGGCCACCCACAGGAGCTGTGAAGGGGCAGTTGGGACTCCCGCTGCCCTTCGGTGCATGGCGTGTCCCCTTCTGCCACAGCCTGTGCATGCTCCACAGACATCCATGCACACGGAGAGGTGCACACCGATCTGAGCCATTTTACATAAAAATACAACCAGTCTGAGGAGGCAAAGACTGGGTAATGCACTTGCTCTCCACCCAAGAGAGCTGGAATGTGACCCAAAGAGTCAGCTTCTAGAGACTGGGTTCTTTTCTTTTTATTCTTTTTTTTTTTTTTT